TTTTATATATAAATATATATATAACCATACAGTATTATAACATTTTTATCTATGCCAACCCAATGAGTGAATCATAATCCTCATTTATTATTTTAATTTGTATTTCTTTGCCATGTTGGAAATTGTCATTTTCTAATTATTCTGTGAGCTACCTGTCCATATAACATTTGCTTTTATTATAGAGTTATGAAAACTCTACCTCTTAGAGAAACTGGGCCTTTGTCTTTCATACAAGTTGTATGTTTTCTCAAATTCCTGCTTCTTTTACTATCTAATATTGTTCATAAAAGCTTTATGTAGTTTAATATATCAGTCTTTTTTACTCACATACCACAGCTTAACAATGACATATGGCAGGTCAGTCAAGGCAGTACACAGTGTTCTACAGTGTTCTAGTTAGTTTTGCTGCTTAAGTGGTCTGTCTCTCTTACATAACCATGACTTTCATGAGAGGAAGCACTATATCCTGGCCATCAGTAGGGTATTCCTCAATGCGTGGATCAGAGTATCTCCCATAGCAGGCATTCAATTCAACTCTGATGAACAGATAAAGTTTCTGTCATGATCTGAATTCTGGGATCCTCCCAAGAGGCACAGTGAAATCCTAAACCTCAAGGGGATGGCATTAGGAGTTGGGGTCTTTGGGATTGAATCAGGTCATGATGGTATTAAACTTCATGGGACTAGTGTCCTTATAACAGAGACCCAAAAGAGAGACTCACACCTCTTGCTAGATGAAAAAAATAGTAAGAAGATACCATGTATGAAATGAGTCCTCAACATCCCACATCAGACACAGAATCTTAGTGTCTTGATCATGGAAATCCCAGGTCCTAGAATTTTGAGAAATAAATGCCCACTGTTTCTAAGCCCTCAACCTTACAACATTTTGTTATAGCAACCTGTTATGACTTGGGTTTGAATGCCCCCTCAAAGCCTCATGCAGTCAGAGGTGGCTGAATCTGGAATGTGTGATACTGGGGTTAAGAGCGTGTGATTATTAAACCACTCTACATGAGTGGCTGGTTTTGACTCCAACCTAATGACAGTTGTCTGGATGGGATAAAAGGGAAAGAAAGACACTGTAAAGGTTTCTTTTTGCTTTGCTCGCAGCTTAAGTGGTCTGTCTCTCTTACATAAGTTCTTGTGCCACTCTGCCTTGAAGCCAGCCGAATATGGACGGAAACCTCTACAAACTGAGCTAAATAAACCTTTCCTTTTTTAACTTTGGGTGTCAGGTATTTTGTTTTAGCAAGGAGAGAAAAGTAACAGTAGCAGAGCTGCAACATAAAGAAAGCAGTCGTGGAGCGATAATGGAGTCACTGAGTTAAACACATCCATAGATGGCCAGTCACGTGAGCCCACAGACTTCTGCTGCTTCAGGCAGCGAGAGCCTGGACGGGGCACTCTGTTACTCCCAACTGAGCGCATCCGCTTGGACATGTCATTCTACCTGCACCACCTGCTCCTCCTCTGCTGATTTTAATAGCATGAGCAGGCCATTTCACAACCACATCTCCAACCGTATCTAATAAAGGCAGACCACAAAGTAAACTACAGTGAGAGTCTGTGCTCACACCCAAGTCCCCAGCATTTTGTAGAGTACATTAATGCTACTTCTGTAGGCTCAAAAATAATCAAATTTAATCCTCAAAGAGCTCTGGAGAGTTACACGGAATATAGGCTTGAGAGATAAGTAGTGCTGAAGGATAAAGCTCAAGGGTGGACTTTGCTTTTCCAGGAGTGAACAAAAGCCATTACCCCTCTCTCTGCTCATTTGTTATGGATACATGAGCACAGTAGCTGCTAGAGGGACCGACTGAGATTATGGAAAGAGCTGACTCGACAAGGTAAGTACAGTGCTGCATATTACCTCACCTTACCTATGCACAACACTCCCTTTGCACATAACCCACCCTTCCTTGGAACACAGCTCAGTGACCAGAAGCATGTAGCTCATCTGGGGAATTCAGCTGGTTTCACACCAAGTGCCACTGGGGTGTTCAACACTACCACACCGCAGTCTTTCTTACATTCAGAAATTCAGTGTGATAGCTTCTGCATTTGCAAAGATATCCAGGCTTTGGAATATTTGGCATCACAGAATCTTTATTCTGATGGTTGTTGTGGGTAAAACAAAGAACCCAGATCCCTCTTAAGCCTCTGTGTCCTTGGTCTTATGCAGAGCAACACACTCATACCTCACCCCTTAGTCTGAAAGAACCACATTTCATCTGTTTAACTTTACAGGTGTATCAAACAGCCCACCTAATGAAAACAAACTAAAATCTCTGATAGGCACAGTTTACTTACTAATTCACATTAAGCCTCTATAAATTTTAATGAAGTTCAATTACATTATTAAAAAGTTTGAAATATTTTGACGACTCATCACTCTTCCAATTAAACATGCTCTCTTTTCTACATTCAGGTGTACCTTTCCATCCCATCCAAACTCAGTCATTTAAGTACTACACATTTACTGGGTATCTACTATATGCCAGACATTCAATTACATGGCAGGGGTGAACAAACACAGAAAGTTCTTGTCTTTGAGATCAAGGTTATACATCAGACGTAGTAAGAAAATATGACAAATGTTTAAATAAAAATTTTAAATTTTTCTAACAGTAAAAGGTTACCACAAATTCCTTTAGAAAACTTCCCCTCACTTCCAACACGCTCATTCCCTCATTCTTGCCACTTTTTAGAGCAGTTCTGGAAGTCCTCTTTCCTGAGGAGTTTTTTCCTGGCTGCCTGGATGTCCTGAATCAACTCAGATCGTTTACAGCAACTTCTGCCAAACAAAAACTTTGTGTTGTGTCCTCAACTACCGTATTTACCAAATCTGGCACCGTGTAACTTCTGGCTCTTCCCCAAAGTCAAAATGACTGTGATGGGTAAATGTTTTAAATTGATTCAGGACATCAAGGCAGCCACGACAAGGCAACAGGAAGAAGGACTTCTAGAACTGCTTCAGAAAGTATCACGAATGATAAGTGTGTTCGAAGAGAGGTGGGTATTTGGAGGGGGACTCGTGGCAATGGGTCATTTGGTGTCACACGCTCTTAATATAACCATATACCGTATTTTGTGATCACATCTCGTATAATTAAATAAACTGAGTGCTACAATACAGATAAATGCTAAGAGGCAAGAAAGCAAAGAAGAAAGGTTTAATTAAGTTTACTCACTTGCAAATAGGGGAAGAGCTCAGACCCTCCCTAGTTCTTGACAAGAAACAAACGACAGCAATGGTTCAGACCAAAAATAATGACATGTTTGCACAGAGCTGATAACAATGTGACGTAAACCACTGCAAATGTCATTTAACGGAGGTCACATTTGGGTAGAAATTGCCAAGCACAGACCTTATAAAGACTAAGGAAGGAAAATGGAACAGACCCTTAATGGAGTAAGACTGAGGTGGGGGGGTGACACTAACTCTAGAGCCAAAAAAAGAAATCTTTAATACACATCCTTATCCACACTCCTCACCTGAAAAAAAAAGAGACATCTTAGACAGCCCTCCGCCCCTAATAGAGGCAAAGCTACATCACAGGCTGCCTTTCTCATTCAGAGATGGATTTAGGCACTAAACATTATTGTATTTATTCCAACTAAATAAAAACCTGAAAGTTTTGGTTAGGAAGCATATTCCGTAAAAGTGATAACTTTTGTTATGGACTATTTCAGTTGCTCTGAAAACTCAACCATCCTCCTTACCCAGCAACTCATAGAGAGAATTCAGAATGGATTTCCAAGCCTCCCCTGCTTCTCGGCCAGCGACGTCAGCAAAGTGGGCCGCGCTGCTGTAGACGTGCAGCCGGTCGATGCATTCCAGCACGAGGTTGATCATTCCCTGGGAGGACCGGGGGCGGGGGAGATCACAGAAAAGCTGTAACTCTGCTCACAGACCAAAAATACAAAACTGATTTTTAAAAATCCGGCTAAAAGTGTATCTGTTAATCCTAATGAAAATGGAGACAGTTTATTTAAGAAGAAAGGGATATCTGTATGTGATATGAAGTGTTCTTCAAACAATGCAAGTGGATTTTTTTTGGTACCGGGGATCAAACTCGGGACCTTGCGGTTGAGAGGCAGGTGGCAACACCACTGAGCTAAATCCCCGGCCCCAAGTGGATTTTAAATCCAGACTGGCATTCTCAAACAGAAATGGAAGAACTCTGTACTTGCAGTCATAAGGTTTCATCCTTGGGTAAATGGATTGATTATAAATGATATTCTGCTGCTAGGTAATCTGAGCCATTAATATAATTACTAAATGAATAGTAAATGTTTTTAATTCACTCTGAAACCCCCTAAGAAGCAGCCTACATATGAAATTATACTTTTATTATTATCTCTAGATCAGGTTTTTCAAAACAAAAGAAAAACTATAAAGAACTGATTAATCAAATTAGCTTATTTCACACAGAATTTCAGAAGTACCACGGACCACAGAACATTTCCAGGTCCCAACCAAATTGTCTTGTACGAGAAACAAGAAGGAAAAGAATCCCTAACTCAGTATTAGGTTGGCAACATTTAAATCCGTATCTTTAATGTTCACAGCATCATTGTCCAGGTTTCATTCCTCCAGATGTTATACGAGTTCAGTATAGTAAACAATCTAGTTAATTCACATGTATAAAATTAGAAACTCCCAATGAACTATATACCATGTTGCTCTTGGTTTATGCTGATATTTCCTTTTCTTTTATACCACTCTGATGTTAGAGAAAATATTTATTTTATGTGCATAGTAAAAAAAAGTCTTTAAAAAGTAATGTCAGCTTCAAAGGTATGAGGAAACAGTTTTTTTTTAAGAAAGCAGAAACAGATTTGGAGATAGGGGAACTTGGTAATGTCCTCAAATTTTTTTTCTTCCACACTTTTACAAAGACACTTTTCATCAGAAAGATGCATCCCTCCCCAGACGCAGGGAGTCCAGAGAAGAACTGAAACTTTCATGAGCTCCCTGCTTGCCCCTAGCCATGCTAACAGCCTCCTACTGATAGGAGGCAATAGCTGAACACCAGTTTAGGTCACTGATCACATTCCCTGATCCTTCTTTTATTCAGTGTATGAAGAATGACACCTGAACTCTTTTTAGGAATGGAACTTTTGGCGAAATCAAGTAGATCTATTCAAAAGGTAACAGCTGGATACTTTGTCCTGGCAGGGATCTTAGAGCTCAACTTCTTATTGGGGTAGCCCTCTCCCTCCTTCTCCAAAAAAACAGCTTCTGAGGTTCTGGGCCATTTCCACAGAGACCCCAAACACCTGCTGAATAGTTTGGAGGCCTTGATATTTTCAAAAGCCTGTAGCATTATAAGGTTCAGACTGATGTAACCAACATGAAGCAAACTGCAGCACTTAAAAATGGTCAGGTGAAGCCTGACTGCAAATTATCTGTCCCTTTCTACTGTAAAATTAATACTCATTAATGAAGAAATAAAAATAATGACCAAGTTCCTCCCAGGCCTGATTCCCCTTTTCAGTAACACACTCATGTCACAAAAGGGAGCTGCTGACCTTGGGCACCTAATCCCAGCAATCTAGGAGGTTGAGGGAGGAGGAGGACCACAAATTTAAACCCAACCTCGGCAAATTAGAGACTTAGTGAGATTGTCTCAGAATAAAAAATAAAAAAGGCCTGGAGATGTAGTTCAGTGAAACAGTGCTGGGTTCGATTTTTAAAAACGTCAAATATGTGGAACAGAGGAAGGCTACCAATAGCACTCTCGCCCCAAGAGAAGGGCAGAAAAGCGGATAACTGAGCTAAGCCTCACCTCTTCCTGGAAGAGGTTCTGCCGGTTCTTCAGGGCTCGCAGCCTGTTCTGCTTGTCCTCATGCTCCAGGTGCTCGTCAGGGGGGTGGAAGTAGCCTATGAGGTCCTGCAGACTCAGGCTCACCGACTCTATGGGCAGCTCCACCGCGGGCACCTTCACTTTCTTGCTGAGAGCATCCAGGCCCCTAAGGTCAACAGCAACACTTTCTCTGTGTCAGTAGTTCACTATTTTACTGTTTTGTGATTTGCAAAAATGTTACTCTGTCTCCCTGTACTATGGTAAAAGAAACACGCAAGAAAGAGCCTCCTCTTCCTCCAGCAGCAATAAGGAATGTGTTTACGTTTAGAAACCCTCTACGGTGCCGTGTATGTACCATGTTGTGCTCTGCTCTCCAGCATGCAGAGCCGCTCAGGATCAAAGTCTACAGGTTAACTGACTTTGACACCAACTAATGTTCATTTTAAAGTACATTTTTGTAAGTCCACGTTTGGCATGCAGAGTGATTACAATCACTGTTGGCAGTGGTACATTTCATGACGCATCTTAATTCTTTTGACATGACCTCCTCCTTCCTCACTCACCCTTTGGTCCCTTTTCCCTCCTCCTATCTCTTGGCCCCCTTTCTATTTGCAAAAGATCTAGCTCCCTGCTTCCTATTAACTAGGTGTTATACCTTCATGTTTAAAGCCGTGCCCTCCCAGACTCATGGCCCTGACTGGTTCGTGTTTCCAAACTGGGATCCTTTTAAGTACTGTGATCTCTGACACTAGTTACTCAGTGTGTCTAATTCTTGTCTCTGAAAAAATATATTCCAGTGTTAATTTAGAAAAATTAGCTATTCTGAGCAAACAATAAATTGCTCTTTTATTATCCAAAAGAAATGATTTAAAAGTTAGATTAAGAAACAATAATGATGTTTTCTAGCCTTGAAGAAAAGCATTAGTAGGGAGGGAAGGATGTTAATTTGTTGAGGTCAAGGATGTTCTCACTTCTAAAATTTATTGTTTTGAATATATCTGAGAAGCACAATAAAACATGATGCTTGTAAATCAAAAGGATTCCAAAATCCAGTTTATTAAAAAAAGACACCATAAAAGAATAAGAGAAACATCTATACTATAGCCGCTACAGTAGTACTCTTAGTCATGACAAAATTTAATGCACAAAAATATTACATTTCCATTCATGCTCTCTGCATAAGCAAACTCCATGGCAACATTTTACTGCAAAGAAATGTTTCTAATTCTCTGACTATACTAGAGCCTACATTTTAAAAACTAAAAGCTTTGTCAGTGAGAATTAGCTTAGCTCTGAATTTTACAAAACTTGAAACATTATTTAAATATATTATGTACATGAAGACTACTAATAATTTTGGAATATTTTCCAACTTTATTAATCAATAGAAATAGTAAAACTACAACTATTCTAAAAGTTTTTGCCTGACATTCCTATCAGTCATATCAATGGAATTGGTCTATTTCCTAGTTTCATCATCTCTACAAGACTTTCTGTTTATCACAATAAACAACCACTACATAGAATGATGCAATAACAAATATACTTAAAATAATACTTAAATAATATATATTATTTATATATATTTAAATAAATAATATATGTTAATATAATGTTGGGTAAAGTAAGTCTGTTTTATATTGCAAAGCCAAAAGCAATTTAACTATCATTAAAAAATAAAATTATTTTCCAAACTAATAAGTTATAGAAAATATATGCAACTTGTAAGTGATGACATGAACTTAGTATCTCTTACATAAAAGCTTATAACAGCCAGATAGAAATATTAACAATAGGGTAAATCACAAAAGGAATAAATGAAGAAACATAGTCAATAAACATGAAATATATCCATTCTCATAACTCACAAATGCCATCTGAGAAAGAAACATCCAAATTTTTAAAAACAAAATACAATTTTTTAAATGTTGCATATTGTGCATTTATGTATTCAAATAAAAAATTTGTACACTCACAGAAAATTTTCCTCTGCCAAATTTGCACATTTAAAGAGACATGGTGATCATCTTGGGTCAGACTGCTGTGTGTGTGTGTGTGTGTGTGTGTGTGTGTGTGTGTGTGTGTGTGTGTGTGTGTGTGTGTGTGTGTGTGTGTGTGTGTGTGTGGTATGGGGGGTTGAATTTGGGACCTGTACTTACAAGGCAAGCAGTGGAACCACTGAGCTAAATCCCCGGCCCTAGACTGTATACTATTATCAGAAAACACTTTGGCCAAAAGTACGATTTAGTTTGTGGACATGCAATAGTTTTAACTATTACATGGGAAAATTAGTTATTATAAGAATCACTTTACTTTTTTAAAGTAGTGTAAAAACTCATCAAGTATCTAAATTTCATCATACTCACTCACTGTAAAAGGGAACTAAACATACCCAATTAAAAACAAGTTAGAGGATAATCCTGACCCATACCTATCAATTACAATTACATATACAATTTCTAAAAGCACACCACATTTTTAAAGTTCACTTAAAAGAAAGATGTAAGTTAGCATCTAAATAGCTCTTTTTATTGCATTCTGCTGACATACTACATTGTACACGTACTGTCATGGTATAATCTAGGAACTGTCCATCTCAAATCTTGGAAGGAAACAAAAATAACACATCCTAAAAAATAGAAAAAGTACCTTATAAATCTATTGAAAAGGAAGACTGTACTCCGGATGACTCGGGCTGTGCGTGATTCTTCATGCTGAGACCTAGATAAATTTAAGCCATCATCCATGTGGCCTTCATGGTGCATAATGGCCTGCAAGAAAACAGAACGCCATTGTTCCCAAGATCTTCCTTCCAAATCACAGTTAAAAAGTGTGCTCAGCACGGGAACTAGCAGAAAGAATCAACAACTGGGATCTCATCTTACTAAAAAGCTTCTGTACTTCAAAAGAAACCATTAGCAGAACTAAGAGACAATCTACAATGTGGGAAAAAATTTTTACCAGCTGTACCTCAGACAAAGGACTATTATCAAGGATATATAAAGAACTCAAAACAATCAGTCCCCCCAAATATAAAGACCCGATCCAAAAATGGGCATCCGAAATGAACAGACATTTCTCATACAAAGAAGTGAAAGCAGCAAGAAAATATATGAAAAAATGTTCCACATCACTGGTCATTCGAGAGATGCAGATGAAAACAACACTGAGATTCCACCTCACCCCACAAAGAATGGCTGCTGTCAAGAAATCACACAATAACAAATGTTGGCGGGGTTGTGGGGAGAAAGGACCCCTCCTCCATTGTTGGTGGGAGTGCAGACTAGTGCAACCACTATGGAAATCAATATGGAGATACCTCAAAGAGCTTGGACTGGAGGTTCCATTTGACCCAGCCATCCCTCTGTTGGGTATCTTTCCAAGAGAACTAAAAGAATCATATCACAGAGAAGTATGTGCACCCATGTTTATAGCGGCACAGTTTGTAATAGCTAAATCTTGGAAACAACCTATTTGCCCATCCGTTGGAAACTGGATAAAGAAGATGTGGTTTTTCTATAAAATGGAATATTACTCAGCCATAAAGAGCGAGAGAATAGATTCATTCATAGGAAAATGGATACATATTGAAGATATACTCCTAAGTGAAATAAATAAGTCCCACATGTGTAAATACCAAATAGTTTCCCTGGTGTGAATATTCTGCAACAATGCATAAGATTCTAATAAGATTACTGACATTTAGAAATGGGAGGAAAGGAGCTAAAGGTGTAGGGAAGGTGTGATACGTAGGTGAAGAACAAAAAGGGAAAAGAAAAAAATGTGAGAGAATGAAAAGATGAAAATAAAGTGTTTGTAGATGGGGAGGGGAGGAGGGGGTGAAGGGAGGGCAGAGGTAAGGGGAAAAAAATGAGAATCAAGACTTGCCATGTAAAGGTACATGATCCCAACAATGAATGTAACTGTACTGTATCCCTAAATGTACCAATAAACTCAATAAAAAAAAAAAAAAAAAAAAAAAAAAAAGTGTGCTCAGGAAGTTGCTCCATAATGGTATGAAGTAAAAGTTAGCTAGAGGAGATAGTAGACTCTTGTGTGCAGATTAAGTAACAGACACCACACCCTGTAAACATTATCCATTCAACGTATCCATTAAAAGAATGATTCAAAAAATATACTGAGTTGAGTAAAACAAACTGGAGGGCATCTGCACATATCTGTGTTCAATGACTGATCCATAACAGCCTAAACAAACTCAACAAAGGGCAAAGGAAACATCATTTGGCATTATATTACTGAATAACACTACCAGTTACAAAGACATTCTCAACACATATGGATTGATTACTAACTACTGAACAATGCAGCTAAGACATCTCAACTTTACATAATTCTCTCATGAATTATTCATGAATATATTTGGGGATTCATACATATTCATCAGTTCTGTTCAGCTTTACATTTTGAAGCGCCTATGAAAGCATAACATTAAGAGAGAGAAATGCAAAAATTATGTTAACACCTCAATGAATGTCTCAATGTGAATACACATATGTAACCAACACCCAGATCGTGAAAGAACGGGCTGCCTTTCTGCCTTGACCTACCTTCTTCCTGTGCATCCTTCACAAGGCTCATCCCCTTGCAGCTGCCACCATCAAGGCCAGCTGTGCCCTAGTGTGAGTGGAACCAGGCTGCTAAGTGCCTCTGGTGTCCAGCTTCATTCAACACTTAAAGCAAGATAATTTAGTATCAGATACATGAACTAAAATTAGTCACTAGAACTATAATCGTAAACTACCTAGAAGCCAAGTAAAGAAGAACTCCTAGTATTGAAATCACTGAGACAGATCTATCTGCACCCAAAGGCAATATTATACCTTTACATGCCTTACTACCAAAGAAGAGTTGACTAAAATGTAGGAACTTATCACTTATTTTAAGACTGAAAGAAGAATACCAAAGAAAGTGAGAATGTGGTTTTAATGAAGATGAAAAGGAAATTAAAGAACTAGAAATAAAATGGCGAATAACCCCAAAATTTGATTCTTTGTGAAGATAAGTAAAACCAAGCTAAAAATAAAATAGAAAGCAAACACAGAAGATGGTAAATTAATAATAGTAATACAATACAGTACACAACTCTCTGGGAAAAAAAAAATAGACAACACAACTAACAGAACAGGGAATTCCAGAGGAATAAGATGGATTCATAGCAAGCTAACAATAATCTTTATAGCTGGGCATAGTAATCTTTATTAGAGATAATCTTTGTAGCACCATGGTACATGCCTATAGTTCCAAATACAGAGAAGTCTCAGGCAGGAGGATCACATGAGACCAGAAGTCTGAAAACAGCCTGGGCAACATAAGGAGACCCTACTTCTTTAAATAAGCATCACCCTCTTCTTCCTTCTCAAAAGGAGCACCTTCACTTAATTGGACAAGTTTCTTGTAAAAAAACCTTGAACAGATAATTTGAGACTTAGTATTTAAAAGACCTTAGGACTGGATGGTTTCACAGGGGAGTTCTCCTAAACCTCTGAAGAACAGAAACTCCTGAGGGTAAAGCGGTCTACACCAGGGTGTTGGCAAAGTGACTATTTTTATAAAGCCAGTGAGAAGGGCCGTTATTTCATTGTTACATGGCTGGAAAAAGTCCAAAGAAGAATGATACTTCATAACACATGAAAACTAGTAAACATGAAAATTTTATTAAATTCAAATCTAATTCCCCTGAACAAAGATAATTTCATTTACCTTATTAAAATATAGCAATAATTCTGCATAAAACACTAGTTAGTTAAATCTCACAGGATTTCAAAAGAAGAACACACTATGCTTAGGTAAGGTTTATTCCATTCCGTAAGAATCCTTCACTAATTGGATGGCTGGTAATTTATTTACCAACAAGTTAGACAGTAAAAGCATGACTTTTAATCTACTTTCAAGGACCACTGTTAATTTTTTAAAAAGTTAAATAAAACAGGAGTGGCAAGAGACTATTTATAATTTTTAGTTGTCATCAGGATGTAAGAAGTTATAACTTCTCTGAAACAAGAATGAAGTACCACAGTGAGAAAATATGCCAAGATTCATAATCAGATAGGTACAGTGGCAAGAAGGGGAGGTACAAAGTCAAGCTGGGCGATATATGAAAACATTTCAAAGGCACCAGAAAGATTTAAAAAGCAAAACAACACCAAACATTCTTCCAAAGGAAAATGGCCAGCACACAGAAGAGAACAAGTACGTTCCTGAGAAAGCATCTAACAGACAAAAATGCATACTTTCATCTAAAACACATTCGTGGATCATCTGCCATGGTTCTGTCACTATGCTACACACTGACATCAGGAAAGAAGTGACTGGGCTGGGGATTTAGCTCAGCGGTTCGGGGGCCAGCCTTCATGGTTCTGTCACTATGCTACACACTGACATCAGGAAAGAAGTGACTGGGCTGGGGATTTAGCTCAGCGGTTCGGGGGCCAGCCTTGCAAGCGCAAGGACCCGAGTTCAATCCCCGGTACCAAAAAAAAAAAAAAAGAAAGAAACAAGAGACTTGCTTCCTTGAGTCTAGCAATGGAGACAGCCAACAAGTCAGGCCTCTGCATCTTGTCTCCTCCTCTCTTTCTATCCGTCCCCCTCAGCCTGTGATTTGAACTTGTTTTAACCTCTAGCTCTTTGGCATCTTAGAGCCTCAAAAAACATCACCAGCAATTTGGACCCAAATATGGTAGCACATGGAAGAATGTAACAGGCACTTTGCTGAGCAAAAAGAAAGCCACAGAGAGGGTACGATCTCACTTATATGAAAATCTACGTCAAGCAAAGCTAATCTGCTGTGGAAAAAGATTGCCCTGAGGGAGAGGGGCAGGGATAACTTGGGAAGGACTGCATGGTGACTTTGATGTTGAATGATGGATACACAGGTTCACTATACTATCTGTTCTTTTTTTGTTTTGTTTTGTTTTGCTTATACATATTTGAATTTTTCACAGTAAGTTTTACAACAGGCAGGTCCAATTATAGGAAATAACAACTGTTTCCCATATTACTGAATGCATAAAATATACTTAAATGAATGGGCCTAAGTCAAAGACTAGAAAACAAGAGACCATCTTATGTACTATAAAGATGAGGGTCTCACAGCAGTGTCTGAAAACCTCCTTCTAGAACTCTGAGGAAGGAAAGACAGAAAAACAATCAAGGCAAATCCAATCAATGCAGCACCAGCCTCTGACTTCACTAAATCACCACCGATGACTCTAACAGATCTCGGCAACCATGAATGATCTATACTGCAATGTGTATGTAGGCTGTGATTGCATACTCTATTGAAAACAAAGTTTCTTGCCTCATCAAAGCCTTCCTTATTCAGTCCTTCCATTTCTAGAATGAATATGTTTCTTGTTATTTGGTTCTGGGCACTGGGATGCAGGTAATGTGTAAAATTATGAGCAATCTGCTATCTCATACTGCCTGAGGGTACTCACAAACTAGGGAGGCGAGACAGACTGTAGCCTAGTAAATAAACAGCACAAAGATTGGATATAAAATTTAATAAATTTTATCAAACAGTATGAGAACACAAAGGAAGAGGTAGTGGATTAGTTGAAATAAAAAGAACTTCTCAGGTGATTTTTTTAATTTTAAATTCTGAAAAATGGATAGGAGTTGGGTGGACAAGAAAACTTTCCAGAGTACTACAGTCAGAAGAAACAGACTATGCAAAGGCACAGGCATATAAAAGCCTTGCCTTTTAGGAATTGTGAGGAGTATACTATAAATTTTCTGCTGAGAAAACAAATTAGCAAAAGTACAGGAGACAGGGGCAGACCAGGCAGGCCACCACATCCACAATGTGATCTCCATCATGTGACCTAGGGGAGGTAATAGTAATACAATACAGTACACAACTCTCTGGGGAAAAAAAATAGACAACACAACAAACAGAACAGGGAATTCCAGAGGAATAAGATGGATTCATAGCAAACTAAAAATAATCTTTATAACTGGGCATAGTAATCTTTAGGAGGTCAGTGAAGGATTAGCAGCATGCATAGAGAACAAAGAAAAGTAGCTCAACTGAAAGACAGAATCCGGAAGATAGTGTACTTCTTCGCTTAATATATGTACATGATTCCCCTAGTCCTATACATAAACAATGTTACTTCCATAAACGACTCACCTTAAAAACCCAGAGTCTATTACAGGGGGATCTTATGGGGGTCAGAAGAGCTCCCAGTTTAGCGACTTATTAATACTTCACTTTCCAGTATTTCTTCCCATTTAAAGAAACTGGGCCAATGGGGTTGTATGCACTGGCAGGTGACTTGGTAACACACAGCATCTTTTTTTTTTTTTTTTTGGTGCCGGGGATTGAACTCGGGTCCTTGCGCTTGTGAGGCAGGCCACCGAACCGCTGAGCTACATCCCCAGCCCAAACACACAGCATCATTTGGCGGCAGTACTAAAATAAACATAGCGTGGGGTTTGCCCTTGAGCATGTAAAGTAATGAATGTTAGCAGGAGTCTTAAATAATTCCCTACCTCTTTTGGTTTTGTGGGGGGTTTTTTTATACTAAATAAAACTGTCATAAATTATGTTTTTATGGCATCTTACCTTACGTTGTATAGAACCCATTCTCACGGATTTCACATCTACAGACTGGTACGTAAGCCACAGGCCTGTATCCACGTGCTGTATGTAACACACAGAGTCACCGTACTTTATTTCAGATGTCCCCATACCATCAACTTCTTTTCTCACTCCTACATCCAGTTTTTCCTAAGCAGAAAGAAAAGAGATCAGCACTTCTAAAAAGTACTAGTTAGTATCAATAGTTGTTTGCCTTATTGTAAATACGTTCCTTCAATACAGTTCTCGGAAGTACCGTGAAACAATGACCAGATGATTCTAACAGTTTATCCTCCCCTGAAAGCTAAAATGGAAAACTACAAAAATGAATAGCATATTATTGAACTGTTCACACTGTCAAAATTATCTTGGCTGTAACATAAAAGTTTGTTTTACTTAATGGCAAACTCTAAACCAGAGATGTTAAAATTAATGATTCAGCTTTATTACTCTTCTCAGGCATTTCTTTCTTTATTGGTGGTTAACAGCATACATTAGGTTGAAGAAAGATTCAGTGTTGAATCCAATCCCTGCCACTTTTTACCTCTAGGACCTTAATAAGTTAATTAAAAATTTTAAGCCTTGGTTTTCTCATTTATAAATAAAGCTAGTACAAGTGCCTCTAAACAGGACCGGAAAACATGAGATAATGTATGTAAAGTTTTCACCACAGTACCTCGTATAAAATAATCGCTTTAATAAATGTGGATAATTTTGACCACAATGGTGATGATGGTGTCAATAATAACATGAACTAAAGCTGTAATTCAGTTTCTACTACTGCAATTTCTAAGCTGGACCACAGAAGTTTTTAATGCTAAAGGGAATGATATTCGGGGACTCTGTCTTAAAGCTCTGTGTAACCCTTCAAATAGACAAATAGCCTAACGTATGTTCCTTTCTTATTCTTTTCTTCTTTGACCTACCTTTCCTTGCTAAATTTGTTTTTTCTTGTCTTTGACTATTTGATTATAGTCTGACACTAGCTGTACTTATACAAATGTTTCTCAAGATTATGTTGGAGGAAAATTGTATTTGTTTTATCAAAAGAACACTCTAAAGAGGCCCAAAAACAAGACTTCAGATTTTTTTATGTCATTTGTTTTCTGTGCTAATAATGACTGACCCCAAAGTCAGTATGAACACTTCCTCAAATTAAAATTAAAATGAGTTGAAATTCTCAAAAGAAAAAGGTCAAGGTCATCTAAGAAAATATACAATTATCAATTAATTTAACTCATGCAAATAACTTGGAACTCTAGTATAAGGATCTGCAATAAAACAGATAAGAAACCATTTTAATTTCATTCTATCAAATGAGATAAACTACTAATCTACTTATACCTACTCTGTCAATTCGAAAATTAAATTCTGGGGGAAAATATAACAATGTAATTACCTCATCAGAAGAAAATAACGAGCCTGTAAACATTATTTTTTTATCCAAGGAAATTAGTTTGTAGTCTAGTTATGGGCTCACGAATTGTGTTTTGAAAAGCCACAGAGTCACTGACTGTAACATTATGCTTTTTTCTGTGTCGTACTAAAGTGGCTCAAATCTATCCGCAGAGCAAAAGTTTTCATTATTAAATCCCATGATGACTGTGTGTTTTTAGTTCCTCTGGATCTTCAGTCAAGTAAACACTGCTGAAGTGACATCAGAAAAAAAGTGTCATCACTTCCTGAATGAAAGGAGAGGCCCCTCATGATCTTTTCAACCCTTGCCTCCTATCATTTTCTGTAGCTGGGACTGCGGAGAAACTCAGATAAAAATGAGCTCGGTGCTTTGAACTATCATAAGAAGAAGCAAATCGTAAGCCAAGAACATGACACACAAGAAAACTATCTAACAGAAACAGTTTGTGTTGCTAGGAATAAAGGATCCAGGTGAGAACAGTAATGACCTTACTGATGCTCTCTACTAGCTGCCTATTTCTAAATCAGTGGCCTTTAGCTTTGGAATCAGTTTCCTTTTAAATAAGCCAATGTTTTAATTTTTGCATTTTTAAATTAATTGATGGCAGCAGCTTTTAAATGTTATTCTTCTATGAGTTCTTGTGCTTTGGAGAAACGATGGACAAACCTAGTTCCAAAATCAGTTCCACTGATCTTCCTATGGAAAACCATTATAATACTTGGGAAAATTACATTGCAGAATCTATTAAAAGACACCTAAGAAAGGCAAAACCAAAGAGTTACTGGAGAGAAGAAGATTTTGGAAAAGCAAACACCCCTGACTCCTAAGAGACCGTCGTAGGCCTCAAAGGATGCTGTGCCCATCTGCCTGCCATTCGGGCAGAAGAGAGCTGCTCTTTTATGGGCTTCAGGTCTCAGGGGGCAAAGCTTGGGGCTCACAGGCAGCAGGAGATTGCATGGGCCAAATCCTGGACTAAAGAGATACCTAAAATATTTTATTATAAAATTCATCTAAATTCTCTTTGACTACTAACTTGTGCGTGCTTGGGGAAGATCCAGTAAAATGGCAGATATAAGCAGGAAAAGCTGAGAAGAAAGCTAACTGTTCACTGTTAAAGAAAAAGAAGCTCGAGTTTCAATCCAATAAGATTAACTGCAAAATCAACTAACTCTTTTGGGAAAAAAAAACCCAACAAAATTCAATTGCTACAAGTTATTATTTCTGATATCCTCTATCCTGTCAAAAAATTAGATGTTTAACAACAACAACAAAAAAAACAAGATATGTGCTATAATAACAAAACATTAAAAAAAGACAACAGAAATAAAAGCAAAGATGGTCCCCAGATCTTACAACTAGCAGACAGGACTTTAAAACAGCTCTTATAAGTATAAAATATGTTAAAAGACATAATGGAAAATATATTTATGACAAATAAATACATGGGTAATCTCAGCCAAATATATATAAATCATAAAAATGAAATGTAATGAAAAAACTTAAATAAAAACAGCTACCCTGACATAACATCAGATTATAATTGTACAACAGTAAATAAAGTTAAAATTATGTCAGCAGAAATTTTCCAAACTGAAGTTAACATTCCCTTTAAAAGCATTCCAGCATAAGTACTTTCAAATTAAATAGAAATTTCCCTCAAAAGACTATAAAATTTAATTCTTATACCTCCTACAATTAATCAACAGAATTCTGAGGTTCTTGCCACGATCTTCTAACACCTATAAAGTTTTATCCATCTAGAGATGCTGAGAACCATAAAAATGCTCAAAGACAACATAATTCTTCTCAACACTGCGTACAAATAGCATTCCAAAGACTGCTATATTCACTGCAAGGCATTTGTTGGGATATTTTCTCTTTTATTCATGAGTTCTTAGGAATATTATATTTTCAATATCAGGGAAACACTGGCAATTCATTGAAATTGCTCCATATCCTCAGGACTAGATCCAAACCCATGAATATCAGGTTCTTGATGAAGATGTGCTTAATTAACTAACTAATTTCTGAGGACTTTGCATAGAAAATGTGCTAACTATATAAGCATGCAAATAATTTTATTCACAAATACCTGGAAAATCTAATCTAAAAATGAACATCAAAATGTTTCCAGAAGTAAAAAAATACTGGCCTGGAAAATATTCAGTGATATTTGGCATGGTAATACTAAAATGCCTTGTTATAAAGCCAGAGCTATTTCTGAAGAACAATAGCCTCATAACGTGATATACAGATATTAGGTTTACCAAGCTAGACTCACTAGGAAACTAAGACCTGTACATTTAGATTCTAGTAATATGGACCAGGTAGTTCAGGTGGATTACTCTAGAACCAAATGAAATAATCCTTAAATCTATTTCAATCATTCTGTCAGGGGACTGATAAGAAGAAAAAGGGCTTTAGAAGACGAAGTTTATGTTTACTTGGGTTTGTTTCTACTTTTTTATTAGCCAAATCTCCTTAGGATAAATAATGGTTAAATTTATGGAACCTGAAAAGCTCAAAAGAATTATTTGCCCTTTTATGGTCTCACATTACAGCACAGAATGACTGGTCACTGGAAAATGAATCTAAAATTGTTACAGGATCATAGAAAGTGTAGGGATTTATAGGCTGGGCAGGCTTCCTACATCCAGGACAGGGACACAAAAACTAGATAGCTCCCTTTACCCTTAAGATTCAGAATTCTCACCAGACAGGTGGACTCCATGGAGAGAAGGGATTTTTAAAATTTCTTGGGCTGGGAGAGTCTTTGAGGGGCTTTCATGGGAGCAGTGAGGCCAGGTCACAGGGCCTGAGGAGCTACCCAGTGACATACCAGACATCCTTCCCAGCTAATGTGGGCAGGGTCAAGGGAGAGCTCAGTTTCCTCAAGGGCCTAGTGAAGATTAAAGGTAAGTCTGTAATCTCTGGGATCAAATGTGATACAAGGCGTACAAAGTGCTTTGTACACTGGCATATAACCAATGGTCAGTGTCCCCTACTTTCACCGTGTGAGAAGGCCTACTGTGAAATGTCTTGAACACTCCCTGAACCAAGAATAAACACCACAAGGAAAAATAACATACTAAAAATTAGATCCTAAAAATGGTCAATTTTCCCTTTTGCTCTCCAATCTTCGTAATCTCATCCAAGGTTTTATTTCAGGCTGTCAACCCTTCATTTCAGTGGCAACAGACTTCTATTCCTGGTATATAACAGGAGAAATTGCAGGAAATCACCTGCAGAGGAATGTTTCAGAGCATTTTAAGCTTAAAAAAAAAATTACCTGAGTTGGGGGAAGGGTATAATGCATACACAATTGGCAAGACTTACCTCATGATCAAAAGTGATATATGAACACATTTTTGATTGCTAGTAGAAAGTTCTAAAAGCAAGGAAGTGGAAAATACATCTATGAAAACCTACATTTGTGAAACTGCACTCTTCCTTACGTAGAATATTTTCCGTAAGTAAGAGCCAATCTAGGTTATACTGCAAAGTACTTATTACTTGATTATTTTTCTTTTAAATGTACAGGACTGTCAACAATTGTTGATTCTTCTGTTAAATCCTGAATTTCAGATTGTCTATTGAACATCCACATTAGTGTCAGGCCACTCCCACAGTAATCGAGGTAAAAGCTCCTCATGCTAACTGACCACATGGGTGTTTTAAGCCAGTCTCATGTGTTAATCTTGACAATGATCTTAATGATTTGAAAAACATGAAA